GATTCAGGTAATTAACATTTCTTACAGATTTCCAATATTGAATTGTCTTTCCATTGAGGTTGAAAAAAATTGTTGAGGAACTGTTTTAGTGGTAAAATATCTAACTGGATAATTGAATTATTGTGTGAAATCAATATTCATTAAGATAAAGAAATTGATAGAATATGTATTTGATGTTCCAGATTAACAAGAGCAGTGGCGGAGTGGTTAATCGAAAGGATTAATCCGTTATTACCTGAGGAAGGGCCAACGTCAACGATAGCCAAGAGAACACAGGTATTTGAGTTAGAATGTTTATGTATGTTTATGGCCATAATAAGAATGTGATAGGACGAATAATGTAGATGCAGTCATATAATTGAGGTAACACTTATTGATTATTCATTACAGATTTTAGTCACACTGAGATTTTATGCATCAGGTTCATTTCAAATGTGCATTGCTGATATGAAATATTTTTGTTTATCTCAACCAATGGTCAGTCTCATAATTGGCAATGTAACGAATGTTTGACATTCGGGGTGCACGAGTGAGTTTATTCTTCCCTGTTGCGTTAGACAATACCTCCAAATTTTCACCACTTTCTTCTTCTTCATTATCCAATACATCATTGACCCTAAAATCATGAATAATTCCTTAAAATGTAGAATTGTTGTGAATCACTAGACTCGTGACATAACCTGCATTTCATTATCAACTTCCTCTATTGAGAGATCTTAATAATGGTATGCTACGAAAGTTATGTTCAAATCAATAGATTAAGTTCGATTTTTGCAACATATATTACCTCTCATCTTCATTCGGTTCTATGAAAAAATTCATTTGTAGCAACGATCAATGAAAAGAATGACATGAACAATATTCAATAAGATCACTTGATTTTCACTAACTCAATTATAAACTTTTAAGGCACTAACACGTTTTTCTCATAATCGGGGGAAAGGATAAATAAACAAAATAATTCAAAGAAACAAAATAATTCAAAGAATTCAATTCGAAGAGTGTTCCGAAACTCAACAAAACCTATCCATAACGCCCCCTGGCGGCGAAAAAAAAAGTATTTTAAGGTACCTTAAACGCGGAGAATTCCTCCCCTGAGCCCATACTTTAGTCAATCCTCTTTAGATTATAGGGGAGATGAGCAGGGCAAATGAAAAGTGTTCAACAGCAAAATTCGTAGCGGTGGCGCATGGACTACGATGGAGCGTACGGAACTGTTGGTATGGTAGGGCCCGAGCATAAATTTGTCGATAACCGGAAAGGGGTTCTCAATACGGTAGCTCCTTGCATTTTGTAATAATTGTCAGGGATGTAAAATCCAACATATTATAATCAATAGTATAATGAATGCAGAATCTAATGATCTAAAAGTCTTTTCCTTGTTCTCGACATATTTATTATTGACACGTAGGTCAAAAAATTCATAGAAAATCCCAGTACTGTCGCTGGAAAACTCTATAATTTTCCAGTGATTCTATTGAGTAATTGTGCAGATTTTGTTTTTTCTTTACTATGGTAATGTTCGATTATATATATTTATTCCCCCCCTGAGTGAGAAACGAATATGTATCGCGCTCACTCCCACTCATTGTCGTCTCCGTCGGGTTGGCACGTGCCCGTCCTCCACCAAACTTAACGAGTGCGAGTGAGAAAGAAAATTGAGAAGAAGGAGAGAGAAATCATTCCAACTCGTTTGAATGGTTGGAACGTTNTGTCCACGTGAAAAGGGCCCATTATATCGCATCTAATTTCCGAGATATTCACGTTTTTCTCTCCACTCCATTTATCCCATTGTTAAATTGATTTTTTGATCTTTTATACGGACGTCACACGGAGAAAAATGAATCGGTAAAAGTCTTGCGATCGCAAGCAGTTTCCCGAAGATGCCCATTTTTAATGCACGAAAAACAATGAAGCTTTTTGGAATCTTCGGGAAATTCTATCCTATCCTACTCAAGTAGGAGCGAAGGAATGAATTTTCAANGTAATTGTGCAGATTTTGTTTTTTCTTTACTATGGTAATGTTCGATTATATATATTTATTCCCCCCCTGAGTGAGAAACGAATATGTATCGCGCTCACTCCCACTCATTGTCGTCTCCGTCGGGTTGGCACGTGCCCGTCCTCCACCAAACTTAACGAGTGCGAGTGAGAAAGAAAATTGAGAAGAAGGAGAGAGAAATCATTCCAACTCGTTTGAATGGTTGGAACGTTTTCGTTGTTCTCCAGCGATCTACACATANTATTTTTAATAAATGACAGCGGTTTCATCTCTTAATTTCAGTTAGGAACGAAGGAATGAATTTTCAAAAGCGCGGAGAAACCCCGAACGGCTTTCCGAAGTCGAGTGAGCCCGGAG